ACATTATAACGCAGTGAGTTTGACGAAATTAATTGTGAGAGGGAAGTGACCGTCAGGTTGCTCTCCATAGATGTTGAGGCATTTCATTCGTTTAGACGGCTGCATGAAGACGATAAACATCCAAATGTCACCCACATGGTACGGGTAATTTACATGTTTGTTGTGTCTCGAAATATGAATTGTAAATAGTGTATCGTGCCAAATATATGGTGAGTTACTGAATAAATACAGCAGTTTCAAGAAAGTGGTAATTGTATTTATAATGTTAAGTGTATTTTACAACATGGACCAGGTTTATATTGTATCTTATGAGTGATGTCCGGATCGAGTTATCGCCCTTGATGAATTTTTTGTTTATTATAGGGTTAAGATAATGATTTTGTATATCATTGATTATTAAGTTCATGTTCATGTACAGAATATAGACGTATGTTTATATGAAATGAATGAAGGTGTGAATATGTATGTGTATGAAACCTATGCACTATTGGTTTTGTAATGTTATTGTTTTGTACATTATTGGATGTCATTATCTACTCTGGCAATAAACACTCACACCCGTAGCCTGTTTGAAATTGTAATTTCCATCACAATTCCCGGTTACAATATGAGAATCGGTTTTGTGAGAAAAGGTACGTGTAATCGACCTGAGGATTGTGTGAGCATATGCGGGAAATACCCACCTTAAATAGGGGTAAATATTTTTAAACCTCGTACATTTTATCAACATCCTTAAAGAGGCTGTACATAATGTTGATATCTTATATAATCATTAAACGACCCGTGGTTGTTGTTTATTGTACAATAAAAAACTCGCCCCTCATGGTTTATCTCCCTGCAGTGTTGTATTGTACCCCCACTCGTCGTTTATTTCTTTAACAGTGGCCCGCTCATTTATGATAACAGGCGGGCGGTTTAATGATAATTTTATCCATTTTAACTATAAAATAATGTAAAGAGGGATGTTTTGTAGTCAGGTTGGAGCGGATGAAAATATGATATTTAATTTTGTATTTCAAATTGGTCTATGAGAATTTTGCCTTTCATGAATATGCCAGTCGTGTATAAAATTGCCTCATGGAGAACCTCACTGGCCTGTGATTATTTCTGTAACTGTAGTACTGATGATGCGCCTTTCAGCAATATTACTCACTCACTCACTGACGGTGATAGTTTTGTTTCCAGCTTTCGGACACATTAATGTTTTCACTATCATTGGACATTCATGTACACAATTTCTTTTGTTAAATTATATTGAGCATGTTGAGGGTTTTATTATAAAGTACATAGGAAACTGTAACAACGGGAGATGACTCAGACTTTGTGTATGTAAATTACATAGCATTTTCAAGCTCAAGTGATAAGTTTGCTAAATGCTACTTGGAGAACGAAGAGCATGAAAGAAGCATGACCAAAGGACTACTAACGTGCGCATGCGCTTGACCTTATGATATTACGCATGCGCACGGACAGCGTCTAAAACGCGAGAACACGAGAACGCGAGATCGCGAGAAAATGAAATGTCGCATTCTCGCGTTCTCGCGATTTCGTGTTTTTGTGGCCTAATTTGACAAGTCGAGATTGCGAGATTGCGAGATTTTGGATCATGTCCAAATGTCGCATTCTCGCGTTGTCGACTTTTGACAAAAAGTGCTATGTACCAAAAACACGAGAATGCGAGATCGCGAGAATGCGAGATTTTGGCCAAATCTCGCGTTCTCGCGATCTCGCATTCTCGTGTTTTGGGCATATTTACCTCGTTTCCAAAGGTCGAGATCGCGAGAATGCGAGATCGCGAGAATGTCCCTTACAGTATTCCATAGAAAACGCATGTGTACTTCACCAAACAAAAGATTACTGTGATCATATCCTCATCCATCACATGTTGATGGCAAGAAGCATTCAACTTACACAATCGAGTCAAATGTTCATTCGGGCAATAGGCTTCACTCAGATTTTAGATTGAGTTTGATTTCTAATTAACATTATGCCTCTCCATTCTGTGTTTTTCACAGGAGTAAAGGGGACTTGATTATTTATTACCAAATAAGGATTACACATGTGTGGCTGTTTGTACCAGTCCATACTTATATCATGTCAGTTTTATAGTGTTAGCCTACTGAGATACCATGCCGCAGTTTAACATGGACACCCCACCCAGACACAGTATAGACCCCGAGCCGACCAGTCCTTGGTTTGTCCATTCTGGCCTGTACATCCTAGCGCTAAAAGTTTTGACTCATGTAACGATAGGTTAATTGAGTGATTGAAACACAACATGGTAAGGTGAGAATGAGATCATGATTGTTGCATGCACGTGTCTGGCTGCTTGTATGTGTGCGGATTCGCTGTTTTTGTAGTGCTAGCACACTTAATGTCGCGCTCCAGGAAGGGTAACTAGAATACCATCATGTAATGTCTTTTGGTGTGACGTGGTCAGGGGATCGAAACACTGCCCCCCTCTCTATCCACCACAACATGGACGCGGCTTTTTGTGTGCAAAGTTAGGAGACTTAGCAGTTATATCATATAAAGATATACACTGATCAGTAACTGATAGGATCAAAGTAATTTTTGTTGTGTATGCACATAAGGAAGAGAATATATGGATATCAACTTCTTTTTATGAGGAACACAACTATATATATATATATATAGAGAGAGAGAGAGAGAGAAAGAGAGAGAGAGAGAGAGAGAGAGAGAGAGAGAGAGAGAGAGAGAGAGAGAGAGAGAGAGAGAGAGAGAATAATGTTTATTATAGTGTGACATGTTATATACACTTCATACTAAAACACGTACACGAACAATAAAATATAACATCCGACCAGGTATGGCCTACGAGACACTTAGACATAAAAGCAAATTATAACGTCATGATCTGGATAAGGTAAAATAAGACATAAACTACCACAATGTTTAAAATGAAGGTTTGGTTATGAACACGCACGCTCGCACGCACACGCACACGCCAAATTACTTATAAAGTCACGCACGCAACCATACACAAACACGTAGATACCCACCCACCCCACACCATACCAGCACACACGCACACACACACGCACAAGTACACGCACACACAAACACACGCACGCACACACACATACCATACGTACATTATACCACACACACGCCCACACACACCATACGTACATTATACCCGTCTTAAGCAATCTATAGGTCCTCGGCTTATTACCATTAGGGTTATTAGCATCATTCCACAACTCTGAAAACCAAGCAGTTTCATCCACTTGAATTTTTTTTTGCATAATTAGAGTGAACTGACCACGTGTCATCGAATGGACGTCGATCAAGTCGACGACGTTTAAGTTTCTAGCTAGCTTGTAAACCTCCTTTTCCAATGAGCGCCCTCTTTTACTTGACCAAGCATGAATGACACGGGGCAATCGTGTAATTTCCATACTGTTAAGGTGGAAGAATAAACGAAATACTTCTATTCGTTGCTTAGTGACACATGATTTCCAACCCATGTCTCCCCTGGCGGCGACATTTGACGCATTACGTCTAAGGACGAGAAAAAAATTACATGCTTTGTTTTGCTTTAACTTTTAATGTTCATACAACCCCCAGATGGAAGCACCATATTGCATAAAAGGCTGAACCAAGGATTCATACAATTTAGTGTAAATTGCATAAGTAAAACCACCAGCATCAAAATATTTTGTACATAAAACACCAAAAGCTCGGCTTGCCGATTTAGCCAGTTCATTAATTGTGAACTTAAAGTCCATGTGTTCGTTGAGCCACAAACCAATATATTTATAATTGTTACTACACTTCAAAAGAGTTTCTCCAATTGAAAAGTTGGTTGTGGAGCAATTTGTATTGGTGGGCCTAAACTGAACAATCTTAGTTTTTGTAGGATTAACTGTAAGTCTCCACTTTTGACGCCATTCATTAACCACGTTTAACAAATTTTGCAGTTTGTCCTCCGTGGGCGCCAATAATAAAATAGCATCATCATATAACATAATACCAATATTTAAATCATTTACGTTAACACCACAGTTCATGCTTTTTATATTGTCCGCCAGGTCGTTAATGTAAATAGAGAACAATAATGGAGAGACAAGGCACCCTTGCTTTAGTCCCTGTGGGGCCTTAAACCAGGGTGAAAACAAACCATTTACTCTCACATCGCACTTCACATTGCTGTATAAACTTGTAACAGCTTCAAACATTTTTCCATTTATGCCATTTTTTAATATTTTAAACCATGAACAATCTATGTTTAACAGCAAAATGTTGATAATTTTGATTGTTTTCTATTTTTGATTATTGTACAAATGCTGTAGAGGTGATCCAAACAGCGCTTTTTTCTGAAGCCGTTTCCCTTCTCAGCTAAAATATTATTTCCACATTAATAAGGAGTAGATCATACCTTTCATGAGATGATTCATTACCAAAGTATTGATATATATGTTCAATTCAGAGCATATTGATAATACGTGAATTACATAAACAGGCTGTGTATCAATCTCAGGGGAATTTTAGAAAGTCTTGCTGCTCAAGTGTAGCGATCACGTACATTACATCTTTAAGAGATCAACATTCGATGTAGCTGTATTGATTTAATTCATACAATATATATCACGGGTGCAAAAATACATTGAATCATTGAATAATAATGTAAACATTTTGAATGTTCCAAATACATGTCTTTGTCACCTTTGAAATCTTGTAAGATACATTGTCGCTTGTACTAAACAAGCAAAAAGTGTCAACATTATTATTCAAAGCGCGACCATGCCAAATAATATTAATAAATGCGTACAAGGGATATCAAATTTGGATCCCCCGATCGTCTTTTATTTATAGGGGGCACGGGTGGCCCAGTCGTCTAAGGCGCCGCGATTCGCTGTGCAGAGTTGCGTCCCTTGGGTGCGCCCGAAACCTATGATTGTGGGTTCGAATCCCGGTTCGCCCCGATTATGTTTCTAGGTTTGTCAGCACCATACCCGTGCTCGTGGGTTTAACCGAAGTGGTAAACATCTGAGACCTGCATCACTTCGGGCTTTCCTCCCACATTAAGCTGACACGACGCGATATAACTGGGATTTTGTTAAAAGCGGCGTTAAACTCAACTCACTCACTCACTTTTATTTATAGTAAGTCACAATATATTGTTTTCATCTTTGTTGTCACTATCTGCCTCTCAAAATTGTTGATCTCGTGCATTTTACGAACGCTTCAGTTATTTCATTCTTGTGTGGTAACATTGGATGTGTGTCGCCTTCAGATTGACTGTCGGTAACTGGAAAATAATATCTGTTTCATCTTAACTATTCATAATTCTCAATGACAGTTGTTTTTAACTGTGAATAGAATACATGACCACTACATGGATACACGAGGATATATTGTACCGTCAGCTCATACTGAAATCCTTCCGTCATATATAACTTATTTGTTTGTCATATAGTTGTTTCTGAGTAGTAAATATCTGTGTCTTTGTTTGTTCAATATCCCCATCATGGCCACCTCACTCACGCCACGACATCACGACAACGGCTTAACAACCATTGTCACCATCACGACAACGCCTTGACAATCACTGTCACCATCACGACAGCGCCTTGACAATCACTGTCACCATCACGACAACGCCTTGACAATCATTGCTTTCTTCTCCTCTGTCATGTTGATGTCGCTGCCCACTACAAGTGTCATGCTGACACTGAGGAGATGTGGGTTATGCACCCCGAACATCGGCCACAGTGGCTGACTGGAGTCTACATTGTCTAACGTCGACATCACTTTGTTCTCCTTTACATCAATGAAGACGATCTTGTTCCTGGCGTCATCAAAGACAACACCGTAATGTAGTGTGTGTGATGCCCCTGCTGTGTTGGGGAGAGTGTCAGGCAGACACAGCACACGCTTCCCCTCCTTCCATGTCTTCCTGCATATCCCGCCGTGTATAGTACAGTGGGTGACGGCCATGCTGCAGGAGCTGGGTTGTGTATCTATACAATGATGCACGTCCCTCTGCTCCTCCCTGCACATACCCACCTCCAGGATGAGGTTCCTCCCTGTGAGTGGTTCGTCCAGACTGACCCTGTTCACCACCTCCCAGTACTGGGGACAGCCAGCCCGGGGGAGGGGGGCAGTGCTACATGTGCCATCATACTTCTTCAGTCTCCTCTCCCCTGCAGGTCTGGTGCCCGACTTCCTGTTGACTAGGTCTCCTTCTGTGTTGATGTGTACACTGACAAGATTGACTCTGCCTTTGTCATACTTCAGATGTATACCTACAACATATGAATGTAGTTTACATGTACATAAACAAACAGTGATGATTAAGGTGCATCGTGATATTTAGATGGTTTCGTGATTTATAAATAACTACAATCTACTCAACTACAATTAATGTAACATAAAAACAGTCACATCACAGAAGTGAAGAATGATTTACATATATAACATATAAAAATATCAACATTAGAAAATGATACTACACCATCAGATATATTTGCGGATGCTATTTGGATTTACTCACGTTTAAACGGAGCGTGATAATAAAACTGAAGGCGATGACAGGGAGTTACTGCTCCCTCGCGTCGTCTTATAACAGAAACACGGTATAGCGAGCAACATGTACATTGCTTGGCAAACAAATAGCACTATGTCACGTGACCAGGTGGCCTCATCCGGCAGCTGTGTGAAGTGTTCTAGGCGCATGCTTTGAAGATCATTCAAACATTTTCCGGAATTGTCATTGTTGTGATAATGTTCTTCTGTTTTTTACATGATAATATACTGATATGGGCATACAGCACCTGACTTATTTGGTATTATACCAGCTTGGAGATTGTTGATAAAATTGATTACGCGTCTTGTTGTGACAAGAGACTTATTGCTGCACGTGCGAAATAGATTACGACTGGAAAACCATGGTGAAACTGCTCTTGCTGAGGCGCGTACGATTTGAATGTTCTCGTTTTTTAAAACAGCAGCCGATCACTTGGCGCCATCGTTAACATTTTAGAGCAGGATTATTCTGACTTCAAAGTTAAATGTACTGCCGATCTGTTACACAGCGACTAGTGGGAACGTAAACAATGGAAACATAAAATACTGTACAGTTCCCGTTATCGCAATCGTTTTCATCGTATCTGTCACGTGATCACGCGCACGTCATTAGGTATACCAAAACATTGATTTATCTTTTTGATTCATAATAAATAAAAATATAATGACAACTTAATAACTACGAAAACCTCTGAGAGACAGATGCATGGGGGTATCTTCTGGATGTGCTGGCCACAAGAACTAGGATACATACAGGTTGAATGATAATAGTGTTCCATAAGGGGTTGGGGATGATTGAGTAACTGCATACTGATGATTTGCTGTAACTCATAGTTAAGATTAGCTTAATCACGGAAGCCTGAAATAATTGAGAGTGAGCAAGACACAGCATGACATGTGGCTTCTACGAGTGTTTTCAGTTGAATGCAACTATTAGATAAACAGATTACGTTTAGATGAGATGTAACACAAACGTCCATGTATAATGACACCAACACTTGCCATGAAAACTTCGCATATCACTTTATCCCATAGTGCTCCAAGGGTATACTATGCAGCACTGGATTTTACGTGTATTCTGCACGATGCACATCACCTGGGGGACTTCGGAGGCAGAATACATCCCCTTCACATACATGTTTGTTGTAACAGGGGACAATATAGATTGAGTGAGTGAGTTAAATGCCGCCTTAAGCAATATTCCAGCAATATCTCGGCGGGGAACACCAGAATGCGCTTCATGTATTGTACCCATGTGGGGAATCGAAGCTGGGACTTTGACGCGCGACTAGAAAGTGTTGGGTTCAATGAGTGACCTGGCTGATTGTGTGTCATCGTACCCCGACAGCGTTGATCGTTGCTGAGACCTTCAAATACCGATGTATCCTGCCCAGACTCGATTACCACCGTGAATCGGGTAAAGTATTGCTGCATGAAACATAAATTAACATTCACTCACTCACACAGGCGACACCTCTCAACTTCTCCGCCTGATGGACATAAAATGACAGACATCTGTCAACAACAAGAACGGATTATTAGTGCTTTAAAGTTGGATAAGGGAAGGTTGTGTTTCAAACCCATATAATTCCCTGTCTTACTCGTAGTAAATAGGAACTCATAAACGTTCTGGCGTGACCTGTAATGGGATGTCCTCAGTGGTAGCGAGAACTTGTATCCGATTTTAATGAGATTGAGGTAGTCGAAGCATATGATCAATCCTGTTTGTTTTTGTTTTTTAAATAATTATTTATTGGGTAGCCAGTATATCTCTGCAGCCGTTGAAATATGCAGCTAATCCTCGACTCGTCTCGCATCAAAACACCGGCTATATACTCGTGAGCAGATGGCCACGGAGTACGCTGATCACCTTTGGATTAACGAGACTGATTAATAAGTCATTTCAGCAATTCATTGCAAATTAGGTGTGTTGGAGTCGTAGTGCGAGACTTTCGGATTAACAGGTCCAAAAAGCACTGATTAAATCGGTTCCCATCGATCATTAGTGTTGGATAAAGCCGATTGTCGGATTAACAGGTGTTGGATTAACGAGTTTTGACTCTAAATTTGCCACAGGTTTGACAGACAAAATCCGCTAAGCTAATCGGTCAATGACACTGCATACGATCCTGTTAAACGCACGAGCAACTATGCACAGTAAAAAAGACTGAGTCGCAAACAGGCCTTGCGCAAGTAAAGGATGTTATTCCTTTGTTGATTCGTTTTATGTTGTCCAAGTGAAACAAAGTAAATATGCATTTAATCTCAGAACTCACATTGCGTAAACATTTTCTTGTATTTATGTGTCTGTGAGCTCATAAACAATCTAACATCATACGTTGTCAACCAATACACTTTATCAATATAATTTCCATGTCGCAGGTTCTTTGTTATTGATTTACTGACCCTCACCTTTCCAATTCCTGTAATTCTTTACATGTCCCCAGACACAGGGCTATTTATATACAGGCATGTAAAGTTTTCAGATGGTCTTTTAACATCAATGTTTCAGACGTTTCGTTATCGGAAATTTCAGCCTCACCCCAACAGTAAAGACCTGTTGCTGACGTTGTTAAGGGAACAAGCGATCCAGTGTTGAATTTAGGGATTTCATTGCTCAAGACGAGTATGGACTACACAAATATTCTGTTTTTACTTAGTTAAATGTGTACATCATTCGTTATATCGTAAAAGGGTAAATGAAAAATGTACTCACATTTCAGCAGCATGGATGTGTCTACAGCTCCTGGATTCAGCAGATGAATACTGTATTCACTGGCTAAATCTGCAACATCAATGTACAGTTTCTTGCTTGATATGTCAGTTATGTAAGGATATCGTTCGTACATGTTTACCATATTAATACAATTGTAATGTAAACTCGTCAGATTAATTTTAGATGCATGATTATTGGAGGTCAAGGAAGAAGGGAAATGCTAATTTACCACGCAAGAAATCCATGATTTGGGGGGCTCTCTTCTCGACGTTTTCCTTCTCGTCAATGCGCTGAAAATATAACAAATATTTGCTTGTCATGGTCTGCCTTCCATAATGTGTGCGTTCAATAACTCGCTAATGAACGTTTACTATCAATGTCAAGAATAAGCCATTTATATAGAGACCACTCACTAACTCACTCCTCACTCACTCACTCACTCACTCACTCACTCACTCAAAACGAAGGAAAGGAGGTCATTGCATTAACTAAGCATCTCTTGTAAAATGTTTTAAGTAATGTGATAACATTTTGTGATTTCATCTTTATAACACAATTCTGAATATAAGGGTATCAATACGTGTGGGTTAATACACAAACCGATTTCAAGCTTTTGATTTCAGCATTCAGCTGGTCTGTAAGCAGTTTAAGGCTTTCAATATGTTTCTCATCTGCATCAATTTTCGTCTTCAGTTCTGTAATGTCCTGCAACAAAAATCTTCAACATGATGTAACCTGACAGTTTATAAGAGTTTATTTCTAGTGAATGTCTGAAGCAGTAAATGATTATGTCGTTCGGAAAATATCGAGCACTGAAGTGGCAAATCTGCACCCTAAGTTTGAGTTAGAGTTACCTCCCTTGTTTGTTGTTGACATGAGGAGAGGTTGGCGGTCAAGAAGTTCTGTGACTTGCTCCAAAAGGCTGGCTGCCCCGTAATACGAGCAATACTATGGTGATACGTGGTCTTGAGCGACCTGAGTTGTGTCTTATCTACTTGCATAGTGCGGATGGGATACCTATCTGAAAACGTCAAAAGCTCTGCAGCTTCCAACAACACTATTGATTGAAGTACGGAGCCCATGAGTCCATCGAAATATGTAATAGGGCCTGTTACTCATTATTACTGCCACTGTATTCACCCATTCTATTACCTGCATTTCGTGCTTGCTAAACTAGAGCTACAATGTATTAATTACTCATTTATCTTGTGTAGTAATTTACTGATTTCACAAATTAGTTTTGTATGATCTGATTTCTTGGTTAATCACCTTATACCATGATAATATAGTAAAAACAAAATAGTTAATAAACTGATGCTATCTCTCAAACTGATAAAACCAAATCATGACTGATCATATTAATTCCAGTCTGTTGGTCAATTTGCAGACACAAATTCATTATGTTTCACCACTGACTATACTCACCATTTTGTGTTTCATTTCCAAGTCTGCAATAAAGTCGTATGTCTGAGTATCCTTGTCTGAAAGAAAAACGGATATGACATGATCAAAGGTTTACATGACTAGTCTAACAAGTGGAAAATTGACAAACAATTTGAAAGAGATTGTAAAATAATTAAACATCACATTCCATGATCGAATGACCAACAGATATTTTCACATATGAATACCTTTAACAGATTCTCCATCCATTTCACACGTCAAAATTGCACCAAATTCTGCTATTCTTGATTTCAGATTTGACAGGCTGCTGGTGTTGTAGACAGCTGTAGGTACGTCATGTGTTTGTGGCATAACAGTGTCCAGGCATATCTGAGTCATCTTCCCTACACAACTCCCAAGATCCAGGATGTCAAAGTTTGAGGCATAGAGGAGGGATTTGGCGATATAGTCTAAAACCCCAGTGCATGTCTTCCAACCTTCTTCACATGTGTTTAGACGAGCATGTAGAGTTGCCTTGGTCTCCTTTGTCTGACTTTCAAGGGCTATCAGAAGTGACTTCTCTCTTTGATCAAGTTGTGATCTCAGAGTCTGGAATGTGTGGCAAATACTTTCTTTCAAAGTGTAGTATGTTCTGTCGGTTGCTTCGCTTCCTTGCCTGATGCTCTGCATGTGTGATTGCTGGCGAGCCTGTAACTTTGACAGCTCATTCTTATGATGGTCCAACTGTTTTGTTATAGTATCAGCAACCACATCAATCTTCTCAACTTCGTGGTCAGCATGGTCTTCAAACCAACATCTCGCACAGATGAACTTCTTGCAGCTTTTATCAAACAGATAAAGGGAGTCATGTTTATGGATACCGCAAAATGTTGGAATGTTCGAGGCTGTCGGTTCCATGTCAGTGAAGTTTTGAACTACATGGTTCTTGGTAAGTTTGAAGTTGCTGTGCATGTTCTGGCAGTATTCACAGAGGAACTCTTCACATTCCTGACACCAACACGCAGCCTGGTTCCCGTTATCTTCATGTGTACAGAGGAGTTCTGTGGGGCGATGTTTGACTGTCAGGTGGAATATTTCCTTCTGTCTGACTGCATCCTTTTGGAGACGAGTGTCTGTGAGGTTGACCTTCCTATGACATGTAGAGCATGATATCACATCACCCGCTGCAGATGTCACACATGTCTCACACACAGCGTGTAGACAGGGCAGTAAGTAGGGCACTGGACCTTTCAGGGTAAAGTGCTGCTGACAGACTGAACGTCTCGGAAATATCTCTATTCTGAAAGGCAGAAAACGTATATCAGCGGCTAAGATCTGTTCAATGTTGTGACACGTACCAATCCACACCAACATTCAAATGAAGTGTTTTGGTTGTTTTGCATGAAAATAATTTAAACATGCCCAACATCTAAAATGTTTGTAAACTCAAAGTTGTCACTAACAGTTCCATCAAACAAATATGTGGAAGGTCCTGCTGCCTAGTGGCTAAAGTGATAGCTTGCCACGCCAAAGAGCAATGTTCGATTCATTACATGGATATCATTTGTTGTGCCCGTTCACTGTGTCTTTCTATTTTTAATTTTTTAAAAATAATTTATGCTTTATATCTATGAGCAACTGTTTAAAACTAACTAATTGCAGCACACAATGTCGTTTATTGCAGACATCCAGTAATCATCTCACAACAGTGAAACACATCCACACGATACATTCAGATACACCATACATTTACTCAAGAGAGGCAGGTCCAATTCCTTCACAAACACAAATATCATAGTAACAAAAATCGTGCTTTTATTTTTCCATATAATCAATATCGGTGCAGTTTTAAAATGAACATGGCTCCACACATCACGCTTCTAAGGTTAGCCTACACGGCGGAGGTTTATCTCTACATAACATATCAGTGGCTTATGTGGATTATGGTTTGTATGAATAACGACTGGAGTGGTAGAAAAGTAGGATTGTGTGACGATCAGCAATTATATAATGTTGACACTGGCGTTGAATGCTTGTTAGTCAGACAGCACACACTTACAAACCTGGAAACAAAGGTGAATTTTTCACTTATCACAAAATCCTCGAGTTCTGTTTACGTTCTCAAGCATACAATTGCGTTACCACGAAACACGGGACACTATTTTGACCAAAAAAAATTATATGATTTGATTTAATCCGCAATAAAGTGAGAACATTATCAAGAACAGGATCAAATCAGTTTTATTATGATTATTTTTTCAAGGTTCACTAATATTACAGATAATACTGATAATATTTACTTCCTCAACACTTAAACATATCCATCAAAAAGGAATTATTCGAGTTCCTGTACTGGGCAAACTTCAAGAAGGAAGTATTTGTTGATTAGTCTTAGATATGAGGGCGGTTACAAACAAGATGACAATTATGGTTAATGCCAGCATATATATTTTTTGATAATTTGAAATAATATTGTTAACAAAACTGCCGAAAGGTACAGAGTATAAAATATTGACAGAAAAAGGTTTCACCTTACCATTACAAAATCTTATAAATATAGACATTTGTGTCGGGTTATGTTTAAGCTCTGCGTTAATAATCCCGAAAGAGAAGTAATTCATTTTATTACACCACTATTAGCATTATAGGTCACTAGCCCTTCAGGTCGTGACATATCCTTTAACATTGGCCAAGGTGGAATTCTGCAAACACAACACTACCACTGTAGTGAAATATATATATTTGGCTAGACATGATCATATCAAAGTGAGTGAGTGAGTGAGTTGGGGTTAACGCCGCTTTAAACAGTATTCCAGTTATATTACGGCGTGTCAGCTTAAGCGAACCGGGATTCGAACCCACAAGCATAGTTTTCTGGCGTGCCCAAGGGACGGAACTCTTCACAGCAAATCGCGGTGCTTTAGACGACTGGGTCACTTATTATTAATCTCACTTTATTGAATTGTACTAACTCCACTGCAACGGCCCGCGGCTGTTCTGTTTGTTTCCTTAAATGTAGTAAAGCTTACCAGTAAACGTTGTCCCCTGTAAGTGAAAGATTCACTTGTGTACCGTTATGAGAAATATGATTCGCAGAATCGCCTTTGAGACAAGTCTATTTATGACTGAACAACAAAATTTCGACGTTCTGGACCGCACCAATGTAACCGTATTAAAGAATAGTCCGTCGTCAAATGACCATATGCTGAAAAAATGACTTTCTTACAGGGTAACGGGAAGCAGGGGAGGCTCATCATTTAGAAGATGACCGTACTGTGTTTTCATTGTTGAGCTCGGTTAACTGTAGATTGACTTGTGCTAAAATGAGTTTATCTCCATTCTATTGTGGCAACATTAAATATGTTGCATTGCGTGTAGCACGACTCAAGTGCATTGTTTTGAATGGTTTGTCGATCTGAATAGGGAAAATAACGAAAACAAACTCAAAACAAAAAAAAGGTAAACTAGATTTATAACGAACACGCTCATCACGAACTGACGGATATAGCAAAATGTGTTTTGATCCCGACAGTGTGCTGTATATTTGCTGCATGTGTGCTGAATATATGCTTATAACGAATTACGGTTAGAACGAACTAAAAGTGTTGGTACCTTTGAGTTCGTTATAACCGTATTTCTTGTATGCTACTGCGTCTGAACGAGGTTTAGTTCTTCAATGGACGTCACACCATCTGTTTTGTTATGAAATGGTTATTGTGGTGTAAACCAACTGATCAAACAGAATCGCGAATTTCCAAATTCATATCAGAAGGCAGTCTGTGTCAAATAGATAATTCCAGTGAGACAATGAGGTGTAAATGTACATTTATTAGGCCTTGCTCCTTAATTAGGTAAATATATATGAATGTGAATAACAAATAGGAAGATTGATAATGTGCCTTACTTGCTCGATGTTCTGGTACCGGAGTTCAAGTCTTGCAGATCTGTGAATGGGATAACATAACACCATCACTTTTAACAAATAACATGAGTATTTAACCGTAAAGTCGTATTATTGTACACTACATGAATGCGTTAAAACAAACGCACTTACTCAAAGATTCAGACACATCCACGAAGGACATAAAGCCATTTTACTCCATTTGAAAGGTTTAATATCAGCTAGTGAATACCTAACGCTCCTTGTTTAAAAATAGCAATTGCATTGATATATTGATATTAATATGTCATCTCAAAAACTCCTTGGACACTGCTGGTGAACCGAGACGTATGAGGTATAATTTCAACGGTGTTCGAAGATATCACACGTTTGTCAAGCTGTTTTATTTGTTAAACAGCCTTCTTTATTCGACTGAGAATCTCTAATGAAATTGTGAGACAAGTCTACGTATCAACGTCTGAAAACCAAAGGGAGCTTCAATAAACGAGGGCTGGTCAATGCTCTAAGCCTAACAAATCCTGCTGGGGTATCATGCAGGAGGCAGATGTACTGTAAGTCCCCATGGTTACCCAGCGAGGTGGCCCAGTTTTGCTTGCTGGTGGCCTATAGCCCGTGTTTAAAAACTGTATACATGATATTATTAAGCACAAAATATTTCATAAATTGTTTTTAGATATTACTTTTCATCAAAGACTGAATTGTAAACAGATTAACTTGGTCTCGTCTCTATATGGGTGAAATAATGCCGATGCGACGTTAAATTTTAACTCACTAACTCTTACCCAAACAAACAAAACAAACAATATGTGAAAGTGTTTTTTTAAGTTTATTTGTCAGTATAATCTCGCTGCTTTTCAATACCTTTCTTATCTCGATAGTGAAGCTTTTCATTTCCAGTCAGGAAGGAGTTTTCTGAAGCCACCCTTAAAAACCCATTCACGACAGCTTTGAAGTCATCTTTGTCGTCATGGCTCTTTCCACGAAAGCGTTCCTTTAGTTTAGGAAACAGGTGGAAATACCTTAGTTGGAGGGTCAGGAAGCTCTTCGAACACACATTATCGCAAAGCAGCCTATGCAAGCTGAGATGTGTGAGAAGAGGCACTGTCATGAAGTAGTAGAACTCAAGCAGACACCATTCATTGCCGCTTTTCTGTGATATAATCTCACAGGCGATGACAAATCAACAAAGTAGGCACCGTTTATCGTCTTTTGCTTTTCTAAGTCACCAACAAGGCTCACATGCGTTACAACCCAGAATACAGTGGCCATAACTTACTTCTCTTATCTTGAAGACCTGTAAGTCTTTGATGACGGATAAGTTGAATGGTGCCATTATATGGATTGCCGTCTTGACTCGGGATCAGAGTGGTAGAACCAAGTTTCATCACCTGTTACTTATCTCTGTTTAAACTTGACGAAATCCTCCTCAATTAGCTCCAAATGTTCTCTTCAATGTGTCTTCCTCAAGTTCAGAAATGGTAACACATCTATCTCTTTTTCTCTATATCCCTGATTGAATCTCCATTGATGGAAGTTGAGAAAAACACCACTAATGATCGTTGTGATGAGATTACACAATGCAATGCGAAAGTGAAAACAACCGTGAGCGATTTGAATGTTTGAATCCAGTACCTCGCAGCATGATGTCGCACGGCATATAGCACGTTGGAGTTAGAAAATAAAAGTACGTCAGAGACTGTCAGGGTTGTGGCCTCCCACGGCGTATGTCTGGGATGAAATCATGGAATCGCGTTTGTGATGCCTTCCAAATCTCCGAGCAACGTTGTAGGAATTCCGATCTGTGAACACATTCGCTACTGGCTGTGAGAACTTGCCTATGTGACTTGACTCATTTGCATATGACTGGAGCGCTCATCACATGGACTGTTAGTAGGTACTTTACCGTCAGACATTTAGGAGAAAAACATACGGTGTTTTCAGAATAGAAATAGGTTACGCTAGCTTGAATGTAAAACCGAACGTGCCTTACGAGGTTTCAAATGTTACATTTGGCGTGGTTACATCTAGAGGTAACCCAGCTCTACTTTGAGAACACAGTATGTTTATCTCCATTCTACCATGACTAAATACAACGCGAACTCTTTGGTGTTAAAATACATTGAATGGACAGGTATGGGCTGAGTCCAGTGTTTTGAGTGGGTTATCAATCAGAATTTACAGAATTCCCGACAACAGTCTTAAATCCCCGACAGGCACTGAAAGCATGTAGTACGGCACTTTGTGAGCTAAAATGAGGAGGACACACATACAAAAAATATTCAAGCCTTGCAATGATTTTGTTCTACACCACATGCCATTATTATGACGTCATATCGCTCATTGTGACACACAATATATGACGTCACAATCGTATATAGAAAAGCGCCAAATAGCAAGATTTCTGTTTACCTCGAAATTTGAAATACATTCTCTTTGCATTTTTCTATCGTTTTTTCTGAACGAAAGGTATTGTCACATATCGTTTGAATATTGTATCAACCGCAACTTTGCGTTTTGTAGCCTATAATTTTAGATATGATTTTGGAATATGCGTACAGACAATGACTGTGAAAGTACTGATTTTATAATATAAGCTTTTGTGGTGATGCGGCAGTCAAATCGTCTGTTTCAGTCAGAGGAGGTTTTCGTAATTCAATACCTCTGATAAACAATCAAAATCGGGTATTTTCAAAATTCATGGCAAATGTTCTTTCCATGTGGTAGAAATCCATCGTAGCAGCTTATGATGTGTTTTCGTAATTACTGACATAAAATGAAAATGATTGATCATAACTTTAATAACCTGAAAATGAGTTTCGCAGTAAAAATAATACTCGCATGACAAAGAATGACGGTTGCATAACAAAATGAGTGCACAGGATATTCTGGTAGGCATTGGTTCCAGCAGCAACATAGGGGATTACAGCATCACACCAAGATCAAGAAGACACTATTCAGAGTGAGCAGTGGGTGGTGGTCGCATTCATAATCCGTAATGCTGCTGGAAAAACAACTGGCGCCGAAAACGTCTCAGCAAAGGCTGCAGGGCAGACAGCAGGACATTGTCCTGTGAAACTACCGTTAATGCCAATAAGGTCACTCCTAAAGACTTAGTGTGCGTTAGCTCTCCTCACAAGATGGTGATGAGGCATGGTTACGCGACGTCGCACTGGTCGGGGTCTGTTATGAACGCTAGCTACCCATTTGTTAATAACGTATCGGTTAATGGTTGTTTGGTTAGAGTGGAACTTGTTTACGACAGCCTATAACAATTCAAGAGCTGGATGTCTCTCTGCTAACCTCAAGCGTGTAATGTTGAAGAAATGTGATACTCATAGAAAAGCAACAATATCCTTTTTTATAATTATAAGATTTTTTTTCTCAGAACAGAGTCTACTGTACGATTCCGACTAAAGAATAAGTTTATAGTTATGAATCACTATCAAATAGTGACGGTACGTACCAAGGTGAGCGTAACTTTCCCAATGGTAGCACGTCTAATGCAACGACAAGTCAATAGTTCAAACACGTATGACACATGTCAAAATAGGGACCTGCATCCAACCAACAGCTCCTTGGTCACTGATAAAAAATTGGGAATGTCCTGGTGATGCCAGTTTGTTAGAAACAAAGAGGCGTTACTGTGTTTCGGGGAACACCGGAAGGTTTCACCACAACATTTATTGACATTCAACCGCCATGCAAATGTCAGGAAAATGGTATTTTTCAGGTAAAGTTGTTGAAAATAAAACCATGTTAGCTACGAAATATTTTCAGATGTTACAGTATGACGCGTAACTCGGTTTACATGAATTGCTTGTAGAACGTACGTTCTGCAATTCACACACATGCCAGATATACTAGAAAACAGAAATCAGGTCCTCTTTAAGTGTAATTTTAATTATCATTTTTGAAATTGGTAATGTTTTACAAGGTATGCGCCCGTTAGTATATTTAGCCGGCAGAGTGTAAGATAGTTTCGAGTATTATTTGGGAGAAATAGGTTAGCGAAGATATTATGCTGATTCCATTTCAAATTAGAGCATAGTAGTATGATACTGTGGTGCTGACACACAATGACAGAGTGTCTTTCATCTCCTTCATTTCATTAGACACGGTTCAGTGTCTATTAACACGTTTAAACACACCCTTCTTCTCACAGCAATAAAATCATCCAAACTGCAAACTTTAATAGAAACTGATACACTTGCTACTGTAGACATAATATACAGCCACATATATGCCAATCCTTCCATCAGAATCCAATACATTCACTCAAATATTAAACTGAAATATTAAATCTTTATTTCATTGAAAATTACCTGAGGTGAAGGCTTGTCTAGGTTTTGCTGCTCGACTATATACAGATTGATAACACACTTGGTGAAATCATCTGACCAACACATGTTCCTGCTGTTATTATTACGTCCCAAAGTGTTGTAACAACAAATTCAAAATGAGTTATTAAATATCCTTGCGCCACTAATCTAGATTCCCGCAGGTCTAATAGAATCACATGTCTGGTTTATCATGTGTTTTGTTATATGAGGTAAGAGAATGGATAACTTACACATCAACTGTTTAGAGTGAAGTCAGCTTGTCCAATATTTATAAGGTATTGTTAATGTTAATCCTTTTTAAAATAGTTTTGCCGCTGTGAATGTAACCGTTTCTACGCAAATTTACCGCGGAATTATAAAGTACTATGTGAACCTAGACACCGAGATGTACCAGTATGCATCGAAACTCGACTTCAACAGTTCATTGTCTCCATTGTAAAAGTGCATCCGAGAACCCACACTTTTGGTCTCGTGGCATCGGTTTTCTCATGAGGGAAGAAAGTGGAGCTTGAACTCTTTGTAAGGTGAACTTCTACATCCAAACTCTACTCATTTCTTTCGTCGTGACGCGAGAACGTTCAGTTCATCCAGGACACCGTTTTCTGACAAAATGGCTGGTCATAGTCATCTGTGTAAAATTATGAACTCCAGAATAAGTCCACATACGACATAAAACTTTTGACTTGCTTTTACAAATTGTATATAATGACTTTTATCATTTAACTAAAGCATTTATCCATGACATAAGCTTATGACATAAAAACATGTATGTCATACCCCAATGACAAAAGTATGCAAATTATATATGCAAATTAGCTAACCGGAAGAGAGACCGGTTTGATTTGAAACTATATATTATAAGTGAAGTTACACCAGAGATATAATCAGATTACACAGAATCGTTGTTGTTACCGTTATTAAAGTTTCAATTATTCTGCCAAAGTCTGTTCAAGTATTTTGTTTAAAATAATCCGAGGAACTTTTTTTCTCAGCGAATTGTTTATTTTGGTTTACATGGCTATGGAAAGCATGTATCACTACGCACGAGTGAGAATACGCACGTAAGATTTCGACAAGTTGCTGATGTTAATGTTTAATGCAATTATTCCTTAATTTGGAAGCAAAAATGTGAAAATGATAAATAGAATTCACCACTCGTGTTTTTTAATATGGGAAATATCAACCTCGTCCCGTTAATCGGTATTTGCCTCGCCAAAGGCTCGGCAAATACCGATTAACTAAGACTCGGTTGATATTTCCCATATTAAAAAACACTCGTGATGAATCCTTTATTTATCGTATCCAGGCATTGTCACATTCTATGTTTCACTGGGTTTGGTATCAAGTGATTAACCAACGAGTTGTATTATATTGATACAGTAGGTATACATGTATTAGCATCAATTAAGGAGTCAACAAGGAAAAACACAGAGACATATAAATACATTAATCAGGTGCTAAAGGGTTTCAAAACCTTAGACTGAAAACCTTATATAATGTTTTACATATGTCAAATGTTTTTTTTATTTACCAGCTGTTTTGCCTTGTCTATCATGCGGAAGCTGCAGAAGTAATTCTTTGATTTCGCTCTCCAGTTTCTCCTTTTGCTGTTCATGCAGATAATTCAGTTGTGATACTTCCTCTTTGTAGTGTTGATTAACGCTGTTGATTTTACGGTCGTGATCGGTCTCCCTTGTATGTAATTGTTGTCGCAATTCATCAAGTGCCTTGAAAAATAAAATAAACATATATGTAGGAAAACTAATATTTGATTAGGAAGCGTGGGGCGATGAGGAACAAACTATAATTTCAATTTAATGATTTATCATATCATGGGTATGTTTCATGGCTGAATAAAGCTAACAGACAGAAAACTGTACACATAAAAAGACCGGTAGGCAGTACTTGCAGTATTTACAAATTAAACATAAATATCGAAACAGAAGTAACAGTCAGGGAGTTACAGGAACTGTGATTATGAAAATAGATGTCTCAGATATCGAAAATCAACGTCTAACTGGGGATAAAGTCTTTTAGAACTATACAAGTAATTTACCATTGGAAATATTATCGAAGGATATTAGAGAGCATGCTAATCATTATTTTCAATACCTGCGCCTGGAGCTTAATTCCTAATTGTTGGATTTCGTAAAAATAAATAAATGTGAGATATCTGACACTCTTTCCTAACATTATGACTTTAAACAAATGTCTCGTAGTACCACACACTGAAGAAGCTTTCATTTGCCAAAGGAAAGGACGCTTACTCTCACGGGCGGACCTCGGGCATTCTGCGAAGAATTACAAAGTTATTTTGTACTTTAAAAATATATTTTTAAAAATTATGAACTTTGCATATATGGTAGTTAAATCATTGTCAGTCGGAATCGTATTACCTATATCACTGTCCGAATCACTGATATTACTTGTGAATAAATACAATGTTTAAGCCTGATTAAGTATATTTACCATATCAACTCACACTCTCGTAATAACTCTATTTATCCACAGCCTTGTTTTCCCTTATTTTCCCTATTTCTACCCCTGGTAATTTTAAGTCTACGTCTAACCCTCCCTGCCTGCCTGAAGATTAGGTTATTCAACTGGTTTATTTGACCTATGAAATGGAATGTATACTTACATCTTCTTTGGATGTCTCTGACTCAGTGTCCCCCGGCAGATATTTCAGGAAGGACTTTATAATGGCTGTACACTTGTCTCTATTCATGTGCAGGTCGGCAGGGAAGCAGATGCATTCTGCGGCATTCTCACGTTGGTCGATCCTTGCCAGAAAACTTTGCTTCTCCTGACATACAAAGTTGTCTACAGCAGCGTTTACAACATTGAAATCAAATTTCGTATCCTCCTTCACATGTCTTACGATCAATCTCGCCAACTGGGTGTTGTATTGAATGCTCTTCTGGTTGACCCCATCCATGGCTGTGAAAGTCAGCACCAAGACAGGCCGTGTAGGGGAGAACACACACACATCACACAGGAGAGACGCGGGGACCCGCCCCTCCCAGGATCGGTCCACTATCTTTAGTAAGCTGCTCGCTGAGATTGTGACTGTACGATCTCTGTCTGGTAGCTCCCTCAGCCTCTGTACAATGTGGGCATATTTTGTGGTGAGAAAGCCTTCAATAACGTCCGGGAAGATGCCAAAGACTGAAACAGCCATCACAAAATTAGTATGATATAAGTTTTGAAATCAACTGAGTCACACATGCTCATCTTGCACTAATGGTCATCAGCAGCTCGGAAGCTACGAAAGTTTGTATACATAAAGTCCAACAAATGTCGGGGTACAAATTTATATAAACGTTTCTTAAAATGCATATATATGTGTGACATCTGAATGTAAACATTGAAGTGTCATGCCTTTTATAACTTGGAGATAACAAAAGAGATGGACGTGGCTTATGTACGTTCAAACAATTGGAATGTCCAGGCATAAAACTATATGTATATAGTTGTACAGTGTATATAATACATATATGACATATCATAAGGCACAAGAAGAAACAGTGCATATGACAAAATCATACGGGCAGCATTTAATCGGGCGCAGCACATGTCAGATACAATTATTGCATGTTCTGATATCAATCAGGAAGTCTCTATCTTACACGTACATGGTTGTCCCGATTCATCTGATAGAATCCTCGCTATTTTCATTTGGTCTGTTATGGAGACACTTCTTAAAGGAAGCATATCACCTGAAACAGGTAAAGCAAACGATTAACTTTCACATTATACAGCAATGAACACGATGTATCTATAATTGAACAGACAAAAAGCCTCACCAGAAGTCAATACTGGATCATCCGAGTCAGAAAGGTCATCAAAGGTCAGTAATGGAACTTCTCCCTCCGAGCTGTACCTGCTGGACACACTGGAGTCATCACTCTCGTCACTGTCACTCATGTTGCTGGGAAACTCCAAGTGCTCTGCCATGTTGAAAGTCCCTTATATAATTTATTTGTGGTTTTAGTCGCTCAAGCCAGGTCGCTTTGTCCATCCGATGTATAGTGTTGTCCTTGACTTCATAAGCCCTTGGTCCGTCCTTGTCACTGAAGACAATGCCATCATAATAGCGCACAGCTACCTCTAGAACACGTCTCTCATTTCCTGGTAGTGGATGTAACCGCACTTCAATCAAATCGTCAGGGACACTACAGAATGTGCTCCGCTCTAAGGCTATTGTGTCACTTTGAAGTTTAGCTTTAATGGCTCTGATGATCTCAGATTCTTCAAATGTCATGCAAAACCCATCAATGTTAAGAAGTTTGGTTCTGTAACTCTCAATGTCCAGAATATCCTCACTTATCCCAAGATAGTATGACCCACCTCCCTCAACCTTGGACATAGAGGTCAGATTGTCTTTAAGTTTGAGATCATGCCATATATAATCTACGAAATGTGACAGACTTCTCGAAATTTGCTTTGTTATTTGATTCTTCAATTTGCCAATATGGAAACGTTTGATCTCAATATTCCTGCTTTCATGGAGTTCTTGAATATTCTCACATATACCTTTTGTCTTGGGTTTCTTGGTATCTGTGTTATTCTGTCTACTGATCATGCACACAGCCAAACTGGCAGAAGTTACTGATACGTTTTCAATATCGTTCCTCACTTTCGTGTTAAAATCCACAGTAGCTGTCCCATTCGTTTCCTTCACACTCACTAAGACGTAGTCCGTATGACCTTGAAACTCATATATATCAGAGAGCCAATGTCGCTTGTATGTGTCTACATATAACTCTCCGTCATCAATGAGATCCGACAGACTCCTGGTGATGAACTCATCAAAAGGCTCGAGACACCTGTCCTCGGGTATTTGACCTTCTACGTGGATCAGAACTTGACCCCCTCCGCTGTTCCTCCAAGCTGAGACTACCTTCCCTATTCTGTCAAGAGTTTTCCTTTTCTTTTCTAAAAGTTGTCCAGATTTCTTTCCAGCACAAATGATACACCGAGTTGTGTGAAGAAGGATGCAATTAGTACTGTTGTATTGAGACTTGTATGATTTTCCTATCGCCTCACATTTTGTGCACCCATCTGTAAATATACATGTGACAATAAAATATTTGAGAAACACTTACTAAAAAACATGCATTGCAGTATACCAAATAACAGTACATGTATAGGTTACCTTTCTAAACTGTCGCTTCTGGAAATCTGGGTGAGATCGGTAAAATCTGTTGATCCTGCACTGCAACTTTGCTGGTGACAAAGTGACGTACTCCTATGGCTTGGAAGGTTTCTCATACTGTTAGTGAGAAATTTGTTTGGTCCAAACGTGATAATTTACAGGTCACCATAGCTTAGTTGGAAAATTGCAGTGGCATTCAACTGCAGAGACTCACTACTTATTACACCTCAGACATTACATATGGTACCCCAACACTTATCTTGATCTTTTCCTTTTTGTTGAAGCTTGACTGACAAGTAAAAACATCTGACCTGAAACCATTATTTCGAATCCGTCAACGTGAATGACAAATTCGCATTATATGAGACAAAATAGTATGTGTCCAATAATTTTGAATCATCAGAACCTACTGTTGTTACAATTATTAAAATATTCTTAAGATATTTAAACTGCAGGCAATATAACAATAGCAATTAATATGGTTACCTATATACTTCTTAGCAGTTTCTGAACCCAGTGATGACATGTCATCAGCATCATAGCATTAACAAAGCTGGATGCGCCTTCTCTGCAAGCCCCAGTCTATCGCTCTACAACCTGAAAACCTGTAATGTTTGAATTAGATTACAAAGAAGAAATATACTGATTGATGAATGGATGGATTGATGTCTAATTTTTACAGACTAAAGTAGACGTGAACTGTGATGTGAGGCGGAGTGTGTGTGTATGTGTGTGTATGTGTGGCTGGCTGGGCAGAGAGTGTGTGTGTATTTGTGGCGAGCCCTGGCAAAGCCAACCCGTTGCCACTACTACCCACAGTCCAGGCAGAAAAGGAGACTCCCCAACACGGTATTCACCTGTATACTGTCCTGATCTGATGCCATGTCATACCAAACAGAGGGCACCAGAGAATAATGGGAAGTCGAATGTATGATATGGATGCAACCAAGACATGATATATCTCCTTTATACCCCTGGAGAAAACTTCTGACATGACAGTGTAAGATCACGTTTTAAAAGAAATCCATTAGAATCATTTTCCAATGATTTACGATTGACCCTAAAAAGTTAACGCAGTGCCGGGCATAATGCTATGTCAAATGTCAAGGTCAGTTTGAAGGTAAGAGACTCATGAAATGACTAGTAAATATTATCTTTCAGAAATGATTGAAAATGTGATAAGCAGCTTTAATGTTTGTAACACCACTTAAGTTTGCCAAAAGTGATGTTCTCGCATGTGATTGGATGACTTTGACGGTCAAGATCACTCAGTGTTAGATGGACTTATAAAATGCTTGTGTTCAAGAAAGGTCCAGGTCAACAGTTTTTGCAATCGGTATCTTCCAAATGTCAAGGTCGCGTTGAAGGTCATTCATTAAAAAAAGGACGTGTGAACAGTTTCATTCAGTAAGTATTGTTAGTATAGTATGGAGACTTCATAATATTCTCGCATGAGATGGGATGACTGTGAAGGTCAAGGTCACTCTGTAGAATGTAGATCTCCCGAAAAGCGTGAATAAAGTACACATTTCTGAAATTTGACTACACTTTATACACATATATCTGAACAGTTCATGGCTGATATTAAATTAAAGGTCAATGCCATTGAACCGGAAGAACTTACAAATGCTTTATTAATGTAGCTACAGGTATAGGACTTCAGGTTTCAAAATTGTCCAGCATTGGACCTGTGTGAGATCCCTCGTCCACAAAACTGCTTCTTTTCTTTAAACCAACTTTTGATACGAATTGTTGCTCGGGAAAGGTTGATTTATTGGTAAAAGTACACGAAAGGGAATTAGTTAAACATCATATCTTAACGGTTGATCATCGCAGAGGACTTACTGTACACATCATTAGGAATTTGAATTAATTATTTACGTTTGAATCAGCATACTAACGCAATTTTAAGGTAAAAGTAGACAGGCATAATGATATACTTTCTTACAGTAATATAGCGTCAAATGAGAAACATTGATACAGCTTCCAAATTTTCAGACAATTGTTTTATAAACTGTGAAAAACACTTGATAAATTAGTCCAATATTATCTATCATATAGCGACGTGCATGCACGCGAAGTTGTGTGTGGCTACTTGTACTAGTCCGGACTAATGCCGATTTTATAGTGACAGCCCACTGAGATACCAGTTCAAAATGAATACCCAACTCAGACACAGTATACTCCGTACTCTGTATGCATTCTGCATCCATCGTGTTATCACATGAATATCATCTGGAAATATACATGATAAATTAGTCGGAAGTATTGCCTGAGAACCTAATCCTGGACAGAAGAAAATATTTTATGCTGCCAACATGTAATTCTTATAATTTCCCTGTACGGAATGAATATGTTTTATACCAGGGGACGGGATAAACTGATGGATTATTTCATTACTAACAACCACAATACTAATCTGATGGCTAATCTCCCCTCTGATATCTTGGACATAAAAGTGTTGTTTAAAACATTTGGCTGTGACATAGAACACAATGCATATGTAACACAGGGCTCAACTGTACTGGAGCAACTTGTCTCAGAAACTAATGCATATGCACTGAATCTGTCGTCCAACCTCTATTTTCAGCCGATATATTGCTGAAGCGTTTACGAGGTCTCTACCAAGTTACACCAAACGATTCATGTCCCGCATATAAATAAATTCAAGGCAAGGAGCCAGATAGTTAACGCGAACAGTGTCAACGCAACAAATGCGTAGTACACGATTTCACCTTTTCATGCTTGAATTGCACAATATACGTTTTTGTATATTACATAACTGTACACAAGTAAGTCATTGCATGCCAATGTAAAATATTTTCGGTTTCAATTTCTTGAAGAACTATTGAAAGAAACCCGATTTGAAATTCACGTGTGGATGACAACACACTGCCGTACATGCAATGACTCAGATAATATTTCTCTTAACACAATGACATTGCCACACCAGGTTTTGTAGGGTAAATATTGAAAACTAGGGATTGGCCGATTCGACTGAAAACGACTCAAAACTCCTTATCTATCATCCATGATCCTCAAAAACACAAGGAAATACAATTTTAAATGTATGTTTGATACTTCGGAATAAGATTATGGTGTCAGCAAATGACCACAACAAGGCTAATGATAATATCCACCATCAGTTTTTAAAACATCAGGCCACGCGTAACCAATAATCAATAAGATAACTGGATTCGAACAACACACCTACGAATTCGATTCCAGCCAGCAACAGTGACTGCAAGAAGCGTCCCTGGCCTTCGACGAATATCTTCACAAACTGTACGTCGCCGCCTCAGATGTGCAGGGATTGTCGCCAGAAGACCCGCCAGACGTCCCATTTTGACAGGAAACCACCGTCAAGCACGTCTACAGTGGCGCTGACAGCGTCTACGCTGGACGGCCATGCAGTGGGGACAAGTTCTTTTCACTGACGGGTTTCGTTTTCACCTCAGCCACAGCGATGGACGGATTCGAGTCTACCGACGTCGAGGTGAACGTTACGTCAATCAATGTGTCATGGAAGAGGATCGGTTCGGGGGCGGCAGCGTTATGGTATGGGGTGGGATAACAGCAAGATAGAGGACACGTTTGATAGTGGTAGAGGGAAATCTCAATGGACAGCGCTACCGCGACGAGATCATCGGCCCGGTTGTTCTACTGTTTCTGCGTAGTCATGGCCATGGCATTACCTTTCAACATGACAACGCCCGGCCTCATATTGCTCGACTTGATCAGGATTCTCTCCAACAAAACAACGTGAATGACATCCCCTGGCCGTCTCGCTTCCCTGATCTCTCACCAATCGAGCACATGTGGGATGAGATGGATCGGCGCATTCGACGTCATTCACTCCAGGAACTTCGAAACATGCTCCAGCAGAAATGGACAGATATTCCACAGGAACTTGTGCGACGCCTGGTCCATTCCATGAGACGAAGATGTGTTGCTTGCATCGTAACCAGCTGGGACACACACGCTATTGATTTGTAAATTGACATTTTGGCATGTTCATGTATTTTTTATGAAATAGCGCATTTTCTGAAGTCAGTATGGCAAATCAAACCATTTGAACACTTACATGAGTCTTTTACCTGTTGCAAACCGAAATTGTTTTAGTTAGATTTGGTAAAAAAACATAACTTTGCATTAAATCGTATTCAATGTCACAGGAACTTTTGTTGTTCAGTATAGTTAATAACAAGTTGGTAAATATAGAAGTATTGCAATTCAGATGTATTATATTGGCGTTCGACTTCGTTAACTTATTCCTATGTAATGTGCCGTAGGGACAGGAACTATCTGAACACTATCGGCTATTTCGGGTGAAATTAGGCTTCTGAGGTCACTAGTAGCCACTGGCAGCCGGGACTATGTTTGACCAGTCGACTCCTCACACACATGTTCACAAGATCTTAAAAATGAACCTTGTGCGAGAATTGCGCTCCGCGGCACAGGGGCTAGCCCCGACTTTAAAATTACGTGGAAATCTAGATGTAGAATAGTAAATGTCCTATCTGCTGTAAATTTAACTGCAATTATTATACTGGTGTGAAAAACAGACACTGCAAAGTGTTTTACGAAATTTAAAAAAAACAGCAATGTTCTCCGATTTATATCGTACACCAATGAAAATACTCTGCGACGAAATGGCTCAATTTAACAGCTTTAGGGACACAGTGAGCGAAAGAAAAACTGCCTAACATCTGAACGACATAAATATACATCAAATGGATGTGTATGTTTATATATAGCGGTATAAGATCGATTCGAAAAACAGCTTGCCACAAATGAAGGAAATCAATTTTCCTCTATGACGTCAAAAGACGATAGTGGGGTGTGCACATGCACAATGAATGAGGTGCATAACCCTGCTACGCTTAGAACTAATCCATTGTAATTCGGGTCACGTGGTCGGAATTTGCTGTGGATAAGGACAATGTATTTTCGTATGGTTTTATTGTTTTATTAACTATTCGATCACAAATATGGATAGTGAAACTGTATACGCTGTAGTATTGCCACAAGTCATAAGAAATCGTGCTGCATGAAAATTAAAGGAATAGCGAAATGGATGGACCTATCGAACATGTAAATTAGTCCCGTATTCATCGGACTGTGTAGTGTATGTTGACTTCTCTTGCACCATTATCAAAGGTGTACTAGCCTTATCGTCAAATGTAATTAATTAAATTATTGAAAATATGACATCTTTGTGTTTAACGTCATTCCTTGTTTTATGTCCTTGTCGACATCGAAGAAAGACAACATTTTTATGTTGATTAACATATCATCGCACCAAAATTCCGTATTTGTTTTGAAAATCTCGATAGTAAAATATGTAAATAATGTCTTGAATATATACCGAAATTAGATTGTGTGATATTTCTTTGAGGAGACATGCACACAGATTTTTACATAAATCCAGTACGCAAAAAAAATGTTTGAAACATTTAACATGTACTTGTTCATTATGATATAGCTATTTATCTTCATATCGTCTCATAATTTTACAATGAAATATCGAAAAGGTTGCTTTTGTATGGAATTATCAGGATAAACATATAAGGTTCATGGCACATTTGTTTCTTATATTGTTACA